TTAACATTGCAACGCTGACACGATTGATGAAGGCAAGAATAGAAAAAGACACAAATGGCCTTGCCCGATAAACTAATTGATATTAAAGCGATGGCTGATTAATCGTAGAAGTAGAATCGTAGCCCAAAAAACATGTCTGATAAATAATTCAGGTCGAGTGAAACTGGAGAAACAAAGTGTCCAAGTAACGCGGGGCCAGGGTGACACAATCACGATCTCCGTGGCCTCCACGACGACCCACGAAGCTATACTCACAGGTAAATTTCGCACAACGCTGAACAACGACTCGCTCATTTTCACATTCACGTAACAATCGTCGTAGAGGATGAATTTTGTGACTGAATTGATTCACAAAAAAGATTAAGAACGAACCTGAAATGTTTCTGGCAAAAGTCAATCAATAAGCAGAATCAGTTCAATTTCAATCTAAATTTTCCACGAGAATCAGTCACAAAATCTGTACGCACGAGAGCAGAAATAACGCCACGCCGACCAGAGCCTTTCATGAGCCTCCGATCGAAGTGAAAACTAGCTTTCGAGTGGCTACAGATCATCTGCAGTTCAGAGGAGACAGATCGCGGTCGCGAAAGTCATCGAGTAGCACGGATCGTCTCTGCTCTCTCTAGTAGGTAATAGTCAAAAAAGCTGTTGTGACCAGCCCAAGCGTTCACAGGTCCTGACGAGAGCCACACGATCAGCAAGATGACCGTAACAAAAGTCGAGTGCCAGGAGATAAACACGGACAGCCCTGGCGTCGAAGAGATAGCCACCTATAGCTACAGCGTGCAAGAGGAGTCCGTTCAGAAGCCGCAGAACGGCGTGTTGATCGAGGAATTCTCGGAGAACAGTGAGGATAACAAGTCGAGGCTTCAGATAAACCGTGGCGTGTCAATCGTGTCCGTTTCGGACGACGAGTCGACTCTGAAGGCGATTTCGAGAGACGTCAGCACGGAAGATATGCAGCACGCTGAATTATCCGAAGATAATTGTGCCAAGTTGACGAACGGATCCTACGAGGAGTTCAATGGGAACGGACATTTGGCCGAGGAGAAGATCCTGGACGATGTAAAACCCTACAGAGGTTCCATAATCACGGAGAGCATCATGGAGGAACGATCCGTGGAAGAGTCGCCGTCGGAGAGATCGAAGCAAGAAAGCGTCATGCCACCTCAATCCGCCATTCTTGAGAACGGTGACTCTTCCAGGAGGAAAGTATCCTCCGCGGATCTGCAGCAACCACAGACACCAACGATCGAGGAGAGCAAACTGACGAAACAGAAAATCGAACGAGCGAGCTCGATCGCGGAGAAGATTGTCGAGACAAACGTGGAGGAACGCCGAGGCTCCGTGGAGAACGGATTCTTCTCGAGGCAGAGTTCGAAAATAGAGAGAATGGATTCGACGGAGTCGAGAAAGACTTTCGAAAGATCGATATCGAGGGAGAGCGCTTTGAAGGCTGCTCAAACCGGTGACGAAGAGGTCGACGAAGAGTTGGAGGCCCTTCTAAATCGCGTTAAACGACAGCGCAGCGTTTTGGACGATATCCTTGAAAAGGAATCCTCCAGGGATTCAGGTACGATCCGATTGCTCCATCGGCTGCTCGAACGCTTCCGTTCTTGCAGGTCGATAGGGTTTAAAGTCGGATAATTCGCAGTGTTCTTTCGACGAGCACGTGTTCCAATGAGTACTAGTACTGGTTTTCTGTGTTTTCCTTGTTTGTCTCTGTTTAATCTGTTTCAAGTTTTATGCCAACCATATCGTATCATGGTATTTATGTCGCTTTCGCATGTTAACATCTGACGTAATATCAAGCGTGTAACAAAGTTTAATCCTTCACGAGAATCATTTAATATCGTTTTCTATTTTTTTCATTTTATCATTTACGATCTTCATTGCGCTAAAATTATAATTTAAAACGGAGCATTAAATTTTGTTGGCGCTTCTACGCTCAATCCAGACACTCGCTCCGCTTGTACAGTGTAAGAGCGATCAGTCGAATCTGGCTAGAACGGTATTCTTCGTTTCTTCTGGAGGTAAGCAACAATGATAGAAATGCTAGACAATTTTAAATTACAAGTAAGCCAAGCCAAAAATTGAAAAAAAAAATACGTGTTTTTCTTATAATACAAAATCAAAGATAAAAAAAAAAAAAAAA